GCTTGACTAGAGTCATTCCTGGCCCATTAATCTCACTCATGTTGTTCCTGCCTCTTCCTCCACCTCCCTGGCGTGTCATCCCCTTCCTCGTCTCTCTGCTCTTTCAAATCCTACTATGTTCTCAAGAAACTGCTCCAAACTGTCCTTGGGGTCTCCTAAGACTGTTCTGGCCACACCAAACCTTCCGTCCTTTGAACAGCCATATAACTTATCATCTGAACCCACTGACACTGTTCTGTCTTGAACAGCTGTCTGACTTTTCTAGGTATGTACGCTGGCCTCATCTGATTGGCCTGTGAGTCAGGTGTGTCAAGACAAGTTGACTGTTTTGGCTGCTTAGCTATAGCTGGACACAGTCACAGGACTGTCAGCTCCACTAGGCCCGGGAGTCCCTCTGCTTTGCTCATTCCTGTATCCACCACACTGAGCACATAGAAGATGCACAACCACATCTATTGAATGAATGAAGAAGAGCAGGCAATCAATAAATAATAAATTGGTGTTTCAGCAATAAGAAACAATGAACATTTTGAGTGTGGTAGGAATCCAGTGTTTGTGCATTTATCTATTAAAAATGAGCCCTTATTATAGGGAAGGCATTGGGGAGTTAAGCGTAAATGAGACCTCACTGTGCCATCGAAGATCTCACAGCCTGATGGGGGGAGGCCGCCGTTATTGAGTGCCTTTTGTATACCAGGTGGTATCGCAGTAACTGGCTTGTGTTATCAGCAACTGCAGTGGTGTTAAAGGGCCCAAACCCTAGGACTTGAACTGTGTGACTGTTGACTTCCAGACAGCTGAGGGCCTTGAACAAGCCATTTATCCGTTCTGGGACTCAGGGTTCTCAACCTGTGCAATGAGGAGAACATCAGAAAGGCACCCTCTAGTTCTCACTTTCTTTGACTGGATTGTCTTAAGAAAGGCTTAATATCCCTCTGATGAAATGACATGATTTCAAATTTATGAGGACAAATGCCAAAGTGAAACGTGTGTCATCTTGCTTTTAATTGTCTGGCAGGCCTTTCAGTGCCAGCACAACCTGCCTTCACGCCAGTGTGGTTGAGAATATTAAGGTTCTCAAGGCAACTCTCCTGAGACATTTACCCAAAATGCTATTCAGCATCTCACATCCTACCATCCTGAATTGGTTAACACGAAACAACACAGCAAGAACAGAAGTTATTTCTTCCTGACTGGGTCTAATCTAAAGGGTATTTTGTTGAATTCTGTTTCTCATCCACCTACCCAAATTCCCTTTGAACATGCCTAGGAACAGGATGTAATGTGTGGAAATTGGTCACTGTTAGCAGTTTGCCTCAACAAACTCAACAACTCAGTAGAAGAGTGTTGGTACTGGCTCTTCCCGGACCTCAGTGTGAAGTCCTCAGCATTGTCCCCAGAGGAGTTGGACAGGATTCTAGCCCCTGTGTGACTCAGGAGCGGTGACCTCTCTCCCTCCAGACTCACTGTGGCCACCATCATCATGGGGCTTTATCTGCCCCGTGTTTGGAAGGCTGTCCAGTTTTACAAACTTCCAGACTGAGCACTTCTATAATCTCAGCCCCAAAGGGAGCAGATACTGCACTTCACATAGGTGCATTAACCTATTTAAAATGTCAACAAGGATGGATTCTTTTATGAAACTAACACAGTATTGTAAATCAACTATGCTTCAGTTTTTAAATAAGGGATGGATTCCTTCAATGCTCATCTTTCTGAGCCTCTCAGCATTGAAAAACACTTTCCTGCATGGACCGCACTTGCCTGTCTTCCCCGACGATGCAGCAAATGTCTCTGTGCCAGGTGGGCCACGCTGCAGTCCCCCAAAGTCAGCCAACAAGAGGCTTGTTGAACCAGAGGGAAAACAATGTCCAAAAGCCTCCATGGAAAGCACACTGTGTCTCACCCCTTTTGGGCATCTATGGGTCTAAGTTGGCTGAAACCTAAACGTGCATGGAAGTTGAATTCTCCCAGTAACATGGGGCAGTGCCGGCCAGCATCCCAAGGGTGTGTGCTTACCATACAGGCGACTATTACAATTTTGTGACAGGAAATGGGCTGGTCAGATCAGTCTCTGAGTGAGTTTGTCACCGTGAGTGCAAAATGTTTCCTGTGGAAAGTGGAAGGAAGGCTCCCTGTCTTCGAAAGAATCTCTGCCTGAGGGCAGGAGACATGTGCTTGCTGGAGGCTGTCTTCTTGATGACACCCAGGTCCCAGACAGTGACCAGCATTTACTTGTTGCAGGTGGCTTTCCCATTAGTGTTAAAGGCAAAGAATTTGCAATGGTGTGTAAAACCCTCAAGGACCGGCCCCACCCCTTAACTGTCTCCTAATCCAAGGCCTTCCTCACTTGTTTTGGTCACTTAGCCTTCTGACTACCCCAAAATTGAGTGGTTGAAGGTGACAACAATCATTCATTTTGCTCATAACCCTGGGGTTATGTGAGAAGGCTCAGTGCTGCTGTACACGGTGTCAGTTGACTGGGCTGGAGCACGTGCTTCTGCTTCTCATGTGGCTGTGCAGTCAGCTGGAAGCTCAGCCTCTGTCCCTCTCCATGCGGGCCTCTGTGTGGCCTGGGCTTCCTCACAACATGGCGGCTGGTCCCAAAGGTAAACGTCCCAAGAAAGAGAGCGGAGCAGAAGCCATTCTGCCTTTTATGACCAAGCCTGGAGGTCACCTAGCATCTCTTCTGTCATACTTGCCATACACTACAAGTCAGGGCAACCACAAGGTCCTGCTTAGGCTCAAGGGGAGGAGACATAGACTCTTAATAGAGGGCAGGGATGGCAAGGCTCTGGAAGGTCGTGGGGGAGGGGAATATTGTGGTGGCCATCTTTGGAATATAAAAGCTGGGCTGTTTCTGTATCACACCGGGCATGTTCCCTCTCAGGGCTTGGCGTTCACATTCTGTTTGTAATGCTCTTCCCTTGGTTATGCATGTGTCTCACTTCCTCAACACCTTGGGTTCTTGACCCAAATATTTTCTTCTGCAAAATGAAAACCCATACCCTAATCCCTTCCCTGCTTTCTTTTTCTCAATAGAACTTGACACCATTTACATACTGTATGTTTTACTTATTTATTCTGTTTTTTACTATTCCTGTCCTTAAATTTTAAGCTTCCATTAAGGGAAGGATTTCTGTCTGTTTTATTCATTGCTTTTTTTCCAAAACTGAAAGAGTGCCCAGCACATAGTATGGACTCAATAAATATTTGGGTAAATTAATGAGCAACTCCCCTCATAAAACATAAGACATGGCAGTGATTATTTGTTCCTTTTTCCTTTGGTCCTTAGGTCTCGAGGGCAGTGCCAAGAATATAGACAATTATGATAATTTAATTAGTGAATGAGTTAAATAAACATGGTGGTTTAAAACTGTTTCTTGATTTGAAAAAATCAACAATAAACCAGCAGCCTCCAAACACAGTCACTTATTCCCCCTTCTCATCTATAAGGTAACGGCGCCACCCAGTATGGATATTAAATTCTGCTCTAACAGTGCTGCTTCTGTCTCCAGTTAGAGCCAGGGAGTTATCAGAACAGAAAAAGGAGAAATCGTGGGGGATGCCCAAGAGAACAGACGTGGCTCTGACAGTGAACTTCTGGGCATCTGCCTGATCGTTCCTCTATTGTTTGTCATCTGAAGGGGTTGACCTGTAGGTCAGCTCGGGAGGAAGGTGGCTTTCCCCCAACGTGGTTCAATGTTCACAATTCAGATAATAGATGTCTTAGAAAATGGGAAGAAAGCAGGAAGACAGTTACTTCACATGTTATCAGGTAGTCGACTGGGCACTTGACTGGGCACTTTTGCTGTCCGTGAGGAACGACCTCTCTTGTTTCACTGCCTTGCGCTTGTTGACACATTCTCCAGAGGTGTTTGGAGTAAAATAGTGACATTTCAAAATGGATTAATAAAGGATGCTCTAAATTGGATACACTCTTGAATTTTGCTGAAATATTATTCACTAAAGAATACAAGTTGGTATCAGGCTGGAATGCCCTGGACCCCATCATCAGGTGTATTATTCCTGAAGTTCAAAAGAAGTCGGCTCTGAGATGTGCCCTTGATGACATTTCAATGGATGTTGCATTTGGCATTTTTCTTTCCCTGACAAAGTAAAGAGAAGCAAGAACCGTGGCCCCAAAGAGCTCCAACTTGGTGGACAGGATTGTGACAGTGACCTAGATGTGTCACCTGAGTCACACAGGGTCCCTGTCACTCCCTCGTGCATCAGGGCCCCGAATCTGGGACTATCTAGGAAAAAGGCAGAGGGTGGCCTGTTCTCTTTGTTTGGGAGTGTATGAGGCAAAGGGCATCCCCGGACCTGCCAGGGTTGCTTCCTCCTAAAGCAGAGGCCACAAGAATGAAAGGATCAAACATGCTTTGAGCTCCTTCTGTGACAAGGTATGGAGAATATAAACTATTAATGTAATTTATGGGCAGGAGCACTTTGCATATAAATGAAGCAACCAATGGCCCTTTTGATTGGCATTTATATCTCCTTTTATAGACATCACATAGAGTAGTGTTATAGTTCTTGACAATTTTTTTTTTCAAGGCACATTTAATTTAATATCAAGAGTGCAATACAAAAGGCCCAAATACAATGAAGGAACACATTCCCCCACTAACACCAATGACAATGCTCTTTCAACATGTGCCTGTTGAATGGAATGGGGATATAATAAATTTCACTACGGAAAAGAATAACGCAGTGAGTCTCATCACAGCTAATGTCCTTATACAATCTAGTTGTGAAATGAATGTTTATAATGCTTCAAACAGTTTAGACCTGAAGTTTGATACCACACCTTCATTATTTGTACAGTCCTCAATAAGATTACCTACAGTATTAGCAACCATTCAAAGAACAAACCATTGAGTAAAACCACATTGATTTAAGGCTCAATCAAGTAATATGGAGCCCCAAACTAAATGGTTAAATATATGAACTACTTGTACTGACATCTATTACTTGATTCTCTCATGACTATTAAGTTGGTTCTTAGAAAATAAACCCTTTAAAGGCAAAATTCACCTCATTTGAGTTTGACCCAGAAGTTCAACAACAATCACGAAGTCCACAGTCTTATTGGCAAAACTGATATACAGTGTCTCTAAGTCACTATGCTCAAGGTTAAGAGCGATGCATATTCCATCTTTACATTTACTGGAATTTTACATGTTCAATTCATGATTTTAAATCTCTAGGTTTTCATTCCTCCAAACTGTCTGAAGACACAGTGTGCCACAGACTTAAGACTTCTGTTTCTCCCTGTATTTTCTTCAAACAGAAACATTTCTCAAGTGTCTACATGTTCTAGAAGGGGAATTTTTCGGAGGTGGCCACTTCTTCGGAATAGTCCGACACCATCAGGCCTCTGAAGCAAGGGCAGGGGGAAGAGAAAAAAGCTGAAACACAAGGTTCATCTGGTAAGTTTTACGTTAATCATTACAAGCTGGATAGTATAAGAATGTGGCTTTTTGGCTCAAAAAGTCTGAGTCTTGGTGTGGAAACGAGTGCTTGGCTGTCCCACCACAGCTTTCTCATAGTGGGACTGTCAGGGAAGTCTTGGCTGGGGAGTATGATTTGTTTACCCATCAGGCGTAAACTTCCAGGCACTCAGTTCATTTTGGGCTTGTTCCAGTTTGTCTTTAGTCTGTTCCAGTTCACCTTTCATTTTTAGGAAAAACAAGTTGATCGCTGGGTCTACCATTGTTGATCTCAGTTGGGCAATGCTAGGCTGCTGGACTCGCTTGAGGTACTGGATTTGAGTAGTACACTCTTGCATCTCTTGCTCCTTGGTTGCTAGTTGCATTACAATAATGTTTTCCCTGCGTGCAGACTCTTGCTGTTGCTGCTTTCGTTTTTCTTCAGATTCCCTTAAGCCAGTTACATCATTAGAGTTAAGATCTGTGTACTTGCCTTCCAAAGCTTGTGCATACGCTTCATATCGTTTCCACCTGAGAATTAATTCATCTCGTGCCATAACTTTGAAGTCTGTTTCACTCAGTCGAACCTTTTTAGGAAGAGGTTCCTCGTTGGTCATCTTGAATCCTCTCCTGACGGAGGCCGCTCCGGTGCCTCCCAGTCACATAGGCTGACCCCGCACTACCGCTCGCTGCCCAGGCCACCCGACCCCGCTGCCGCCGGTGCCCGCGCTCCTCCTCCCGCAACAGCCCCGGCTCTCCCCTTTATTTGCGGGTCTCGCTGCCACAAAATGGCGCTGAGGCTCTTGACAGTTTTGATTGTAAAATATATGGGACTTTAAGCTCCCTGGAAGAAAGCAAAGCTGATTAATATTAATAATGGACAACTAAGTACACAGCAGACATGAGTAATATGTTTTGTATTTATATAGCTATTGTTTTGACTCACTGGGAAACACTATATGCTTTATTGTCAGGAATGCAGTTATAATAAGACACTCTATTGTCTAGGTCACATAGAAGACATTCAAGCTAATCCCTAAATCCTATTAATTTATTTACTCACATTACAGAAAAAACAGTAGCCATTTGACTCTACCATTCAAACTAATGTATTCAAAGCAATGTGCCTGATTAAAGACATAGATCAAAATTCAAATAACTTCATGCAAATGCAGTCAGTCCCAGAATCGTTTGGAAGTGTCCAGGAAGGCTGTGGATCTCGAAAGAAAAATAAATAAGAGACTGAGCAAATCAAAGCATGTTTATATCACAGTGATGAGTGTATTTTGTGCTTTTTCTTTTTTTTGTTTTTTTTGTTTATTTTTCCTTCTATGTGCAGGAGGCTGAGTGAAGCAACTCTGGGCTCTGTCAGTAAAAATACAGTTCTAATAAGACTGTGTATTGTTATGGAGAAAATTATTTCAATAGAAAATGCACATCTCCTAGATTATACCTAGCGCTTGGAAAATTGCAAAATGTTTTACCACCTCTATTTCCCACTTCCTCCTCCCTTCCTGTGACTCTATCCATGGCCACGGGGGAAAAAGTAGAAGCAGAAAACAAGGAAGAATGGACATTGTGGTCCCCTCAATTTAAGGTGTGCCTTTGAGTCAAAATAGAACAAATCAATAAGTAAATGTTACGTGTGTCAAGTCTTCATTCAAAAGGCATTTGGAATGTTTTAAGACAAATATATTAGAAAAAAGGTGAAAATGAAGTGGAATAGAAGTAACAGTTTGTATACTCTGTGGAAAAATACTCTGTGGAAAATATGCCCCCCTCCCAAATACGTAAATGAACAATATGTTGAATTCTGAGAAGTCCTAGTCATTTGTTAGAGGTAGGACTTAAACTTGGATCTGAATTTTTTTAAACCAAAGAGAAGAAAAACACATGGCCAGCTACATAGTTTACATAAGCAGAACTACTCTTTTCAGAAAAATATACCTGTTTCATTTTCTAAGATTTGAGAGGAGCTGTTGTTTTGATTTTACTTTGTATTTTTTTTGTTGTTGTTGTTTGTTTTGTTTTACTTTCTCCATGGGCTTTTAACATCAGATTCTGATGATAGAGACAGAAATAAATTCTTCCATCCTATCCCCTTTACAATTTGCTGTGGTTTGGGAGGCTCATCTCATACGAGGAGATGTTATGGTTCCCCACTGCACATTCACCTCTGACATCCTATACCATATTTTTAGTGATGTGCCCATTAGCCTTTGCTGCGTAAATAAGCTGTTCCAAAACTTAGCAGCTTACACCAACATTTATTTGCTCACAATTTTGTGGGTTGGCAATTTGGGCTGGGCTAGGCTGGGCCATTCTTCAGCCTGTCTTGCCTAAGTTCCCACTCATGCAGCAGCTGCCCCTGGCTGCTGGTTGGGCAGGATGACGTCACTCACATATCTGGAGGTTGGTGGGCTGAAGGCTCAGGTGCTCTGTTTTTCTCTCATTTGGCCTCTCCAGGAAGCTAGCTTGGGCTCATTCAAACTGCTATCTCTGAGTTCCAAGAACAGCAGAGAAAGAACAGGCCTCAATATGCAAGCTCTTTTCAAGCCTCTCTTTGCATTATATTTGCTTAGGTCCCATTGGCCAAAACAAGTCACATGACCAAACCCAGATTCAAGGGGTGGAGAAATAGACTTCTCTTTTAAGGGTAGGACCTGCAATGAATTTATGGCCAATTTTTTTACACTCTACAATGCAAGTTTATTGTTGCCGATGAAGGGAAGGGACCACCATACCCTTGTTTATACTGTAGCTTGAAGAAAAGAACTATAGCTTCTACTCTCTGCATAAAATCCTATGTCCTAGAAGGAGGTCAACTGTGGGGCTTGTGAGATGCTCTTTTAGAAACAGAGGAATTCACTTCTCTAGTCGCTGTGGCAGGGAATGAGAAACCACATGATCTAAGAGGTGTGGGAGAGTAAGGAGAGATAGAAAAGAGACAGGTGAACATTGTGTGTGTGAGAAGGTTGTTTTACATCCATGTGGGGTGAGAGATGAATAAACCTGTCTTTCGGTGTTAACCAGTTTTTTTTTTGTTCTTTGTTCTTTGGAGAGCAAAGGAGAATTACTGAACAATTTTAGAATTTTATAAGTCATTTTTCCCAATCCACACCAGGTGGTGGAGCAAGATAGAGTCAAAAAGATTATCACGAAGCATTCTTTCTTCGGCAGGACCTTTCAGGGTGCCTTGTTTTATTTCTGACAGTGTCTCAGAGGCGTCTCCAATGCTCTCACAATCACAGTCCTCTTAGTGGCCATGTGGTGTGCGCCGTATTCCCTGCTTCAGCTCCCTGCAGGGGTGTCGGCTGCCGAGGCCTCTGATGCTGCCAAATGGCCTTTGAAGATCCTGAGTATACTCCAGTGCTGATGCAGGCTTTGTCTCCCACCTGTAATGAAAGTGTTAGCATCAACATTGTTGGGTTGGCAGGTGCCCCCTTGTGTTCTTAATAAAGCGCTTCCTACAATAGCCACCTATAGATTTGCTGATTCTTATATTTGGTTTATTTGGTTCCTTGACTCAGTTGGATGAGTTCTCCTAGTATTTGTTTCGTTTCTCGTGCAAATAGAGCTGTGATGGATCTGCTCACACGTCCTTCATATAAACCTTGTATCAATTACCTATGGCCGTGAGATTCTATGTAACAACCAACCACAAAACCTCAGCTTTGGGTCACCTGAGTGGCTATGGCTTGGTGTATAATGATAATCTACCTGTGCTCAGCTGTGGGTAGTCAGGTGGCTTTGTTGAGCTTGGCTGTGCCCTTTAACATATCTGGGGGGGGGAGCTTAGATTGAGGGATGTGGCCCCACTCCATGTCATTTCCTCCACAGCAGGCGAGCTCAGGTTTGTTCTTATGCCAGTGGCAGGGTTCCAAGAGAGGGCACATGCTCACAGCCTCATGAGGCTGAGGCTCAGAGTCTCCACCATGTTACCTCTCCTGTTCAAAGCAAGTCACCAAGCCCCTAGGATTCAAGGATGGGGAAACAGACTTTATCTCTTGATGGGAGGAGCTAAAAAGTCACATCACAAGTGATATGGATTTGGGAAGGGCAGAGAACTGGAGCCATCTTTGCAAACAATCTAACACATCCGAAAACCTCTGAGTCTTGGGTGAGTGCAGGTTGGCAACCCAGACAACTTCAAATGCACGTTAGAAAGATTAATTTGGTAATCCTTCTAGAAGGTGGTAAATAAACTGATTTGGGTAATGGGAGGGGAGGTTGGTGTAACCAGCAAATGGTTTTGCTTTAATACAGTAGGGTCTAGAACAGGGATAGCAAACAGGGATAGCAATCAGGCTGCACACCGTGTGACCCATTTGTCATAAATGCCTTCAGTGAGGAGCTGAGGAGAATTATGTGGCCACTTTCCTGGTGAACTGAACACCGAGGGCTGATGGATTGGCCATGGTCATTGAAGGGGGGAGTGACAGCACAATCCCAGGTATTTGCCATTTTTGTCCTATCAAGGGCAGTGGCAGTGAGGTTAAAGAGCCTTATGAAATCAACGAGGAGCTGGAATTATAACATATTAACGATCAAGTGTAAAGGAGGAAAACTATTATTCTAGGATAATCCTAAATTTTGGATTCAGGTCCTATTGAATGATAATGTCATTTCTTGAAGTGGGTCATAGTATACAAGGAGTAGACTTGATTCTGTATTGTATAGGTCAGTCCTGTACCCTATCGTATAAGGAGCACATATTTTTTTGTCACCTGTTGGTGTACAACAAACCAGCCAAAAGCTTAGAAGTCGTGATGGTTAACTTTATGTACCAGCTCGACTGGGTCATGGGGTGCCTAGGTATTTGGTCAAATGTTATTCTGAGTGTTTCTGTGAGGGTGTTTTGTTTTTTATTAGCAGACTGAGTAAAGCAAATTGCCCTCCCTGATGTGTGTGGGCCTCATTCCATCAGCTGAAAACCTGAATAGAACAAAAAGGCTGACTTTCCCTGAGTCAGAGGGAATTCCTTTTGCTTAACTGCCGGGGAACTGTGACATCGGCTTTTTCTTGCCTTTGGACTCAAATGGAAACATTGATCTTTCTGGGTCTTGAGTTTCCTGGCCTTTGGACTGGAACTACACTGTCAGTACTCCTGGTTTTCAGGCCGTTGGACCCAGACTGGAACTACCCCATCATCTTTCCTGGGTCTGCAGCTGGCCGACTCACCTTGTAAATCTTGGGACTTGTCAGTTTCCATAACTGCATGAGCTAATTTCTTATGATAAATAAATAAATAAGTAAGAAAATAGATAAATATTTTATACATACATGCATATCCTGTTGGTGGCTCTTCTTGTCTGGAGAACCCTGTCTAACAATGCAGAAGCTTAAAACAACAACCATTTTACTTCTCAGGATTCTGTAGGTGAGACATTTGGACGGGATGGAGTGGGGATGCTGGGTGACATCTGGGGCCTCTATCCTTCTCCCCCTGACCTCTCCCTCTACCTGCTCTCATAACAAAGAAGTCTAGTCTGAGCTACTTTAGAATTTGGCAGATGCCTCCCAGGAGTGAGCATTCTAAGAGGACAAGTTCTTCTTAAGGCTCTGTTTCCACCATGTTTGATAACGTCCCGTTGGCCAAAGAAAGTCCAATGGCCAAACCCAGGGTCAGTGTGAGAGGGGTCT